TTAGAAGTATTTTTCCTTCCCACCTGCTTTAGGCTTGGGATTGGTTTTGTAGCTAGTCAGTCACTTTTGTTGGTGCTTGGCTGTGTTTTCAGCCTCATACAACAAGAAGATGAAATTGTTTTTGTAGACATCTGTATGAGTGAAGCCTCTGCTGTTGTTATAACCAGTACTGTGGCGGTAAACCTTCAGACCCTGACCTTCCCATCAGCCCCACATGCCTGCTTGTTTATTCCTCTGTTTTGGTTTTATCTGTAGCATATTTCAGGCTGGGCATCTCAAAAACACCTTTCTGTACCCTCGATGTTGACTTTTCCCTGATTCTGTGATTTCAGATTTAAAACCCAGGCTGTGTTGCCTGAACGATACTTTGCTGGGAGGTGGTTTCCTTTAAAACTTACCATTGTATTTCTGTTAATTTTTGTTGTTGTTGCTTTGGTTTGTTTTTTTCCCCTCATGCTACTTTCATACTTGGCTGCTTTTGCTACCCTTTGCAGTGATAACCATAGTACTTTTAACCCCTGGGAAGAGATCTACTAGGAAGAAGAGGGGAACTCTAAGGAAGCTGCACCCTTGTTATTAGCACTGCCTGATGTGGTGAACAGGGAAGGATTACAGTAATGATGTGCAGTGTCCATGCCCTCATCAGTACGGAGTCTGCATCTAGTCCCTGCAATACAGTAGCAGTAAGGGAAACCAGGTGAACTGGAAGATCTGTTTTGCTAAGCACTGTGCAACACAGGAGGTGGCTCTTATCTGGGTAGCTTAAAAACATGCAGTTTCTACAGCACACATAAAAAAAAGCTCATAAGGAAAGAGACACAAAGGCGTTACTTGATTAATATTCGACAGTGGGCAGGTAGATGAAGAAAGCATAAAATGCACACTGCAGTGCCACATGTGGTTCCCTACTGTTAGGCTACACCACTTTAAATCCAAATGATGAAAATCTTAATCGGGAAACCTTCATGTAATCAACTTCTTTTGGTTTGAATTTGTGGACCATTTTACATAGCTCTTTTCTCTCAGGACAAGTTGATTTGTAGGGTACAGGGAATCACCCTCGGGCAATGTTTATTTCCCATTGACTTAGGAAAGGCCCTAAGTTAGAGACACAGATGCTTTTAATTCTCCGTAAGCCTGTACCCCACCTGCTGCCTTCATTGCCCACTCCTGTCTTCTTGCTGTGTTCCCATTGCTGTCTTTGTGCTGGGTGAGCCGGGACAGGAAACCAATTCACTTTCAGTCAGATGTGGCAAATACTGGTTGCTTTAACGTGGGTCTTGTTTTCAATTCTGCGTTCCTTATAATGGTGAGTGCTGATGGCAGTAGGAGCAAGATAATAGGAAGGAACAAGTGGAGGCAGGCAAAGACTGGATTTCTCCCTTTTAGTGATCATATTAGCATATGCAGGATTGGTGGGACTAAGTCATAGGTAAATATTGAAACTAGTCAGATTGAATCTGGGCCTTTTAGTCATATTTGGCCTAAGCAAAAGCTTAATGTTTTTATCTTTGTTATGTTAAAAATGGTAAATTATGTGAATTGTTTTTGGTTTAAGCTATTAAGCTGTTCTTGGCTATAAATAGGAATTCTGTTAAAATGTACTGAAAGTTTTGAAAGATTTCTTTTTTAACCAGATTTATCTATAAATACACGGCTACGTGAAATGAGGGATGGGGTAAGCTTTTCTGGGCATGTGTTTGTTTACTAAATCTGTTAGTTGGCTGTGTTGAACCTGTATGTTCATCAAGACCTTAAAACTAGTTAAGGTTTTCCTGTCTCATTTAAACCAAGCACAACCTGAAAAAGAAAACCAAATTTTCCTCTTTGGACTTTTTCTGCTCCTGGACTTCTTGTCAGCTTCTTGCTTTTCAGTGAAGTAATCTGTGCTTTTGCGGAAATAGCTACTACCATCAAAAACTGATTGAATACTTCACCTCTGCATTTATGTGGCCAGGATAGAGAAGTGACCATTTTTAAAATCAGGAGAAAATATGTACTGCATAGTGATCTAAAATACTTTAGGCCTCAAAATAAATTGTTGCACTAATTGAAAATGGTTGTTTTTC